GCAAATAGTATTTTAATAAATTAAAAAAAAATAGTTACTATTAGAGATTGACCAGTATCAACAAATATATCAGAACTTCACTCATTCCTAAATCTTATAAGTTATTATAATAATTTATAAAAGATTTTTCAGCAATAGTATTATTACTCACAGTATTCCTGCACAAAGATCAAGAATATGAATAGTTTACTATAGCATAATAAGCTTTTGAATAACTAAAGTAATATCTTATATCAGTACTAGTCTTATTATTACCTGATTCTAAATTACCATTCACAATCACTACAGATGCTTTAGATTTTGTCATAAAATTTATACTAAGCCAAAACCAAAACAAGAGTAACTAATCTATAACTTTTGAATTAAGAAAACTTTCACTAGTAGAACAGAACTATTCAGTTTATGAAAAAGAGTTACTTATAATTATATATACAATTAAACTTTGAAAGTCATATTTAAAAGATCAAAAGTTTATAGTAATCACAGATCATATATTTTTAAAATATATTAAAACATAACACAATCTTTTCAAAAGATAAGCTTGTTGGTTAGAAGTTTTACAGATCAGTAACTTTAAAGTAAAATATAAATCTAACAAGAATAATATAATAGCTGATGTATTTTTATATCAATTATATCTGATAAATATTTCAGTAATTATTATTAATTCAATAGAAAAAGAAGACTTAATAAAGAAGTATCAAGCAGACAAATATTTTGCAGAAATATATAAAGTATTGAAGAACTTCAATAATATCAATACAAAATAGCAAACTAAAGTCAAAAACTTTGAGATGAAAAAAAATTTATTGTATTTGAAAAATACAAGTTGTCTAGCTATACCTAATAATAAAAATTTAAAGATAAAAATCTTGTTTGAATTTCATGACATACTAATTGCTAGATGTATTAAAATAGATAAAACATATATAATAGCTTCTTAATAATTTTATTAGTTCAAAATGAGCAAGAATATTCACAAATATATTACTAGTTATGAATCTTGTTAATATAATAAATCTAGTAATCAATAACTCTTAGGATTATTTTAATCTTTAGCTATTCCAAAATATAAATAAGAATATATCATTATAGATTTTATAATTTAACTTCTAACTACTAAGTCTGAATATGATATAATAGTAGTTTTTGTAAATAAACTATCAAAAAGAGTATACTTTATATTAATCACAATTATATCAATAGTACCTGATATTATAAAGATTTTTTTTAAAAATATCTTTAAATTATATAACTTATCTATAATTATAATATCAGATAGAGATACAAAATTTACAAGTCATTTTTGAAAATTTCTTTTTGAGCAATTAGATATAAAAATACTATATTTATAGCTTTTTATTTAAAGATGACTTCTCAATTAGTTGTGACTTGTGATAGCTAATTAGAGAATTATAACAGAGTTGCAACTAGTTATAACTTTCATTATTACTTTTATCCTCAGATAGATAGCCAAATAGAAAGATTAAATAGAATTTTGAAAGAAATACTTAGAATATATATTATCTATCAGCAAAATAAATAAGATAGAAATTTAGCTAAAACAAAATTTGTCTATAGTAATAGTAAAAATACTTCAACAGATTATATAACTTTTGAATTAGATTGTGAATAAGTATCTTGTATATCAATCAATATCTTGTTACAATAAAATAATATTATAATCTCTCAAGATTTCATAAAATACTAGAATATTATGATGAAGACTACCAAAGATTTATTACTTGAAGCTCAAGAAAGATAGTTAAAATATATAAATCAATACAGAAGATTTGAAAAATTCAATCTTAAAGATAAAGTTTTTCTTTCTATTTATAATATAAAATCTCTAGTTAATAAATAAAGAATAATCAAGAAACTTATATCAAAGTTTATAGATCTTTTTGAAATTATTATCAAAATATCTTCTGTCACTTACAAACTGCAACTATCATACAATATGAAATTATATTTGATATTTTATATATCACTTTTAAAGAAATATAATCCTGATAATAAATTCAACAAACATCAATCACCACTAGTAATTATTACTTCTGATAATGAAGAAGAATATGAAGTTAAAAATATTCTTGATAAAAGAATTCATTATTACAAATTCTAATATCTTATTAAATAACTTGATTATATTTTCTATAATATAACTTGAGAATTTCTAAAAAACTTGAAAAATATTATAAAGAAGATTAATATCTTTGAAAAATTATGCTCTTAAATACAATAAGAAAATTGTACTTTAAGTAGAGGAATATGTAATAATTTTGATCAGATTATCTTTATTTAGATCTCTTTTTAGTTTAGATTTTTATTTTGTACTATCTGTATAATAAATTAGCATTGTATTACATTTTTAAGAAGATCAACTTCACTCTGGATATACAAATGATTATTATGTATTTAATATATCTAGATTTAGTATATTATTACTCAAATAATTATCATATATATTATAACTATTAATTTAGATTATTAATATTTTTAATTAATTATTTTCTTTATAATTTTATTTATTTTTCTTATTATTTATTTATATTATTATTTATAATTATTATTACTTATTGGATTATGATTAGTTGCTCTTTAAAGATATAAATTAAGTTAATTAATTCTGTTCAATCATATGTATTTTAAAATATATTTTATTATTAATTTATTTACTTTTTGTATTCATTTCTTTTACTATAAATAAAATTTCTCTATTCTATAATTTTCTCTCAGATCTGAATATTTTTAAATAATAAAATAATTATAAGTTATAAAATTAAAACTATTTATATTATATTTTATTTTATTTATGACTATTAATAAAATAATCTTATAATAATAAAGTAAAATATAATTTAAATTATTTTAATAACTATATAATTAAGATTTATATTATAAAAAATATTTATAAATTTTATAATTTATTTTATAAATAATTTTATAGCTAATTTTTGATAGAAAATACAAGCTTATAAAATATTTTTTATTTAATAAATAATTTTAAATAAGCTTAGTTTTTAAATATTTATATTATTTAAAAAAAATTATTTAATTATTTAGTATATTGTAAGTTAATATAAAAAGATTTATATCTTAATAGATTATTTTTTCAAAATAAAATTTTATTTCTATTTTATTTAATTAAATTATTAGATATTAAGATTTATTTAAATATAAAAATTTTTATTATATATTTTTTATAAAGAAATTTTTACTAATAATAAGTTTTTTAATTATTATTTGTTAAAGTTTACTATATAAAATTTGATTAAAATTAATATAAAAATTATATAGTAAATAATTTAATTATTTAATTTTGAATCTTAATATCTTTATAATTACTGATTCAATTTTTATAAAATTTAGAATATATATTTATCAAATCCAAGATAATCTATTTATATAATTTTAAAATACTAATATTATAAATTAATGATAATAATATTTAAAATATCTTTTACTTTTAAAAAAATAATTTTATTTTAGTTTTTTTTAGTAAAGTAATATTTCATTTATTATTAAATTAAAGTATAATAAAATAGTTAAAATAATATAAAAAGTTAATTTAAATCATTATTTTATTTAATATAAAAATATTATAAAGATTCATAAAAATTTGTACAGAAATAATTATTGATTTTTATATTGAAATACAAATTTTTCTGTACTAATTCATATTATATAAATATAATTTTATTAATTATTTTAGTAAATTTTATTATTTATATGTCAACTATTTATTTTTTTATTTATATTATAACTATAATTATTATTCTTGAAAAAGTAAAATTAAATAATTATAAAAGATTAATTATAGAAAATTTTTTAAATATAATTAATTAATAAATAAAAATTTAAATTTAATATTTATTAAATATAATTATAATTATAGTAACTTTTATAATTATGAAATTAAAAAATAAATTTTATTAATAAAATATAATACTAAATAAATTTTAAATTTGATATTTAATTTTTTTAATTTTTATCTATAATAAAATTTAAAATTTGATTTTTTAAATAATTATCTTATTAAATTAAATCAAATTTTATTATAAAAATATTTAATTTTAATATATTAATTTATAAAAAATTTTAATTTAAAATTATTAATATATTATTTTTTATTGTATTTTTTTTAATATTTTCATTATAAAGAATTAATTTTAAAATTAACTTTCTTTTTAGTAATTATGAACTTATAATATCTAGAATTATATTGTATTATTTATACTGAATATTTCAAGATAATTGTTCTTCAATTTACAGGCAAGTTGGATACTTTTGATTTCTATTATATATGCTTTGTTTTTTATTACAGAATAATTTATTATATAAGTTATTAAAAAAATTTCACAAAGAAAAAATTATTATAAAATATTATAATGAAAAAATTAACAGATGAATTATTGGAAAAATAAAACCAATAATATTTTGAAAAGATTTAATAAATAATAATGGTACTCTAGTAACAGTATTAAAGCTGGATAATGCGGTTCGAAGAGAGTCTATTCGGATTTATTTTATCCGAACTAGTGAACCTCAATAGTGTATTTAATTCATACATGTGATACAATTTAATTTATTATTATACTTTTTGGTCTACTGATGTTAAATAACGATAATAAAAACTAAAAATCTTTCTTACAAGATTCTATATCTATAATAAAAAAATATAATTCGTTCAACATTTAATTTATTGGTGTTCGGGGATTAAGCAAGCGGATGTATTTTAAATAATTTAATTCTGGCTGTTGGATATTATCAATTTACGTATCGAGAATTGGGAAAAAAATGATTGCTTTATATTTTTATTTTGAATCACCGATTACTCAACTAGATTTTTTTTTCATTATCGTTATACATGTACATGTAAAGATTAATACTATTGTTCTAAAATAACAAATACATGTATTACTTTTATATGCTAAAATGCATGCACTACGCTACGTATGTTTGAAGAATGCATAAGATTTTATAACAATAGTTATCCCTTAAATCTTTCTTCTCTTCAATTCTATTTCATATCGAATCTCTTCTTTTGTAAGCTCAATTTCGCGTTTCAACAAGTTGTTCTCACGTCTCAAAATATTATTCTCAGATTTCAATCCTTCAATCTCTTTTCGTGCATTCTCTAATTGATCGTTTAATTCATTATTCTGTCGTTCTTGAGTAGAAATTCGATTATCTTGCCGAGTCAGATGTCTTTCTACTATTTCAAGGAATTCAAGAGTGGTGTATTCAGGTTGTTCCCTTTCAGGGTATTGTTGATGAGGTGAAGAGGTAGTTGATGATGACGAGGATGAGAAAATTGGGATTGGAGTTCGCAATAATTGAGTTGTTCTTGTCCTTGTTGAAGTGGGCGTTGGTGGTGGTGTTGTTTGAGAGTGATTGTTGAATCGTGTGCTGCTTATAGTTTGATTCGTAGTATGTCGTTGTCTTTGAGGAGAGTGGCTTTGTTGTTGTTGTTGTTGTGAATGTTGTTGTTGTCGATTGTTGTTATTAATGTTATTGCGTTGATATTTATTTAATGAAACAGAAGTCGCATCCTGTTCTAAAATATCGTTTTCGTCGTCATCCATAATTGTACTAAAAGAGACGTCACTTTGAGGTGATAATGTAATTTTAGACTGACGTGGTGACAGCGATTTTTTATTTGTATTGTTTACAGTATTGTTGCTGATATTTGTAACACCTCTGTCACGACTATTCGCATTATTATTATCAATAATAATAATATCGTTTTTTTCGTCAGCCCATTTAAAGTAATTACACTTTTCCATATCATCCTCAGTTCCAAATTTCGAGCATCGCCAAAACCATCGACCATAATTTCTGTCGCTTTTATATGCTCGCCATAAAGTTGTCGGTAATGAGCAATAACAGTCTGGCTTTCGAGATGAGGATTGCATTTTTTTTGTGAATAAAAATCAAAATGACTTACTCTCACCCCTTATATAAGTAAAAGACCGTCGTTTTATTTGATTATTTCCCACACCTCACATATAAGTCAAAAGACATGAGGATTTGCTCATCAAACAAAAACCAAATACATGTACATGTACGTAGACGCAGCAGGACACAATTGTCCCCTTTTTTTGTGCATGTACATGTGCAGTGTAATCATTAGTATGCATGTGACTTGTTTTTTCAGATGCGATGTTTCAGATTAGGTTTATGACCATGACACACGTACGTAGTTATGATAGATTTAAAACATCATCATATCAGTTGATTGCCTAACCAATGACCGAGTTCTTTATGTGGGGACCTATTGGTTGGGCACATACATGTACACGACACGTAAAATTATTTGTACCGTTATTTTTTAGAAATTTTGGCGGGACAAAATATTAGGGTTTGACAATCAATGAACGTTTTGATTTAATGTGACTTTAACCTTTGAAATCCAATTCGTTATTGAACACGTAGATGTTATGCGGTGGAAGAAAAAATGAGGATAGTTAAAATTTTCGTGTATTTGTTCAATTTACATGTAACTTTCAACATTAATTCGCATTCTGATACTTCTCTAATTTCATCCGGAAATTAAGAAACGTGTAATTTTTTCGAATATTCAGTATTCAGTAGACAAAATCATTTAATTTGGATCTATCACGCCTTTCAGAAGCGATATCTCGATTCATTTTCGATTAGTTTATTTCGAGAGAAATCGAATGATATCAAAATCATTCGATTTAAATTTCATAAGCCAAAGCCACATGATTAAACAGCTCTAATTCATTTAGATTGAAATTCGTTCCTTAAATAAATAACCTATAAATTTATTTTCAAATGTACTCTAATTAAATTCTTCAATTTATATAACAGTTAGAGCATTCCTAAACTAATCTATCACTAAATTATCCTATATTCCACAACATGATTAAAAGCACAAATAATTTCAGGTATTTATGAAATGTGACGTCCTTACCGGAAAAAAGACTACTACCATCCAACACCATTAAAAAAAAACGGTAGAAATCATCATCACAGAACAAACGGGAGCTGAATGAATGTCACCGACGAGAAATTTACCTTGCCTTGAGTGACGGATATAAAGTTGAGTTGCTTAAACTAAAACTATATCGTGTGTAAAAAGCGCATGAAAAATGAAGATCAAATCTGTGTCGTGGAATTAAAAATTTTTATGATGGAAGTGACCCGATATAAGTATTTTAAGAATTTAATGTTAATGCAACATAGATTCGTGCACAGAAAACGCAAGGGATTGATTCTGATAATGGCGGCGATTTTATATTTTATTGAGTGAACTGTATTGATTGTTACACACACTGCATATTGATTGATAATGCAAGCATAACGCAATGTGTGTGTATGGGAACATGTTAATACTAATGTGCAGAATTACATGTACATGTAAATGTGTGATATGAAGAAATAACCTTTTTGACTTTGCATTATCTTACAGAAAAAATTGATCTGTATATGAATTATAAGTTTTGGGTGTTGGTAAACCATTTGGTCCGGAAGTATGCTAATCTCTTGCTTTCATCAAAAATATGAACTGCATTATAAAAACAGACAGTTATTGCAACTATTCAAATCCTTCACATATTGCAAATGGAAACTAGTTCGCTTTGTATTTATTCGTGTAAAGCATTAATATATACCATATTCCATTTATCATCAGTTGGGGCCACCAAAATGTCAGATTTGCAAGAAGAGGGCGAAGTTCTGATAGACTTTACGATGTACCCTCGCCACGTAAAAAAGAAACAAACTTTCACGTGATTTACGACCGGCGCTCAGGCTCTAACTGGACATCTAACTTTCATCTCAGACAATATCATTAGCAATAAAGGAATATAATTACTATGTGTTAACATAACTAGTGACAAAAATCTTCATCGTTATTTTTATTTTGATCGTTGGAATCCTGGATATTTGATTGATCGCTTTGAATTTTATTGTCTTTGAAAGGAGTTATTATCATTACTTTACTGTATTTTCTATTTTCAAAGTCTTTAATAATAAATTACGAATTATCGTTATGTTAGAAAAATCTTTATAAACAAAACCTTTTCGTTTTTATTATACATGTGAAATTTGCGCACGCCATACATGTTTCTGGATATTAGTATTGATCATTTCCGATTCTAGACTTTTACATGTACATGTATTAACTTTAATCGACAACATTCACAGTGTTGGATTTGTTAACTTGCTTTCACCAAGAAAAGAATTATCATTAAAATTAACCGAATAAAAAATGACCCCTGACTTGTTATTGAATTCGCACTCAAACAGACTTGATGAATTTTATAAAAATTCCAATTATTGTGATATTTCGATTATTGTTGGTGAAAACCAAGGTACCATTCGTACTTTTTCAGCCCACTCGACAATCTTGATGGCGCAGTCGCATTATTTTGTGGTAGCACTTGCTGACGCATGGATGAGGCGCGAACCAAATAAAATGATTATCTTTAAGAAACCGAATATCGAACCTCGAATTTTTGAATTATTGCTAAGGTAATTTCATGCTAAAAATGAAACAACACAACTGACTAAATGTAATTTGAAAATTTGGCTAGCCGACTGATTTAAATTTAATAGATATATATATAGTGGGAAAATCGATTTACAAGAGCACGGTGTTTCGACACTTTTAGATTTATTAATTGCGGCCGATGAAATGATTCTTGAGGATCTAATTGAATATATTCAAATTTATCTTC